CGGAGCAGCAGCGCGCGGCGCCCGGCGCGGAGAGCAGCTGGTGTTCGCTGTAACAAACAACTTGCCACTCAAACGCCGGCCCGCTGGGCATGCGCGGCCGCCGCGGGGCGTGCCGGGACTTGTAGTCGCGCGGCCCGGGCGCCGGCGGCCGCTGATGTCAGGGGCTGGGCGGCCGCCCTAGGGGCCCGCCCGATGCGCTGGGGGAAAATGCTGGAGCGCGGGCCCCCACGGGCCTACGGGGAGGCGAAGGGCAGAAACGGGGGCCTTTCGAGCCAGCCTGAGCCTGAGTGCAAGCTCTGTCCCTCAGAGCTCAGGACTAGGCGCTTTTGGGCGCAAAGCGAGTCGCCCACAGAACTCGCGCGCTGGAGGAGACCTGAGTCTGGGAGGGGAGAGATTTGGAGAAACCGGTAATTACAGTGCAGAGAAGCAAAACAGAGAGGGGTGCGGGGGACAGAGATGGGGCCTTGGGGGGTTTTCTGGAGGAGGGGACATCCAGGCTGGGTTCTGAGGGATGAACGGGACCTCGCTGAGGAGGGGGAGGGGGCGCGCGGGCTTGGAGGCCAGCAGTCTTCCAGGCAGAAGGAACAGCGTGTCCAAAGGCACAGAAGCGTGAAAGCCCCCACGGTGCTGTGTTTGGCTTTGTTGGAGCGGAAAATGTGAGGGAGAGGCAAGAGATAAGGCAGGCGCAGTCACCAGGAGTCCGGTCGAGAGGGTCATGTGTGCAGAGCTAATGAGGTGGCCGTTTATCCGGCGGGAGAGAGGGTGATGGGGACTGCGAATGAGGGAAAAGTCCGAAATACACCCGAAGGGCTTCCCACCCCAGGGCCGGTGTGCCCGTGACTACGTCCCGCAGCGGCTCCCCCTTAATGGCTGACTGGAAGTTTGAAATTTTCTAGGTTAAAGTTACTGGTGCTCTGCTCGTTGGCAGAGTAATTTGGGGACGGGATGGGTCAGGTTTACCTGCTGGGCCCGTCTGGGAACTCTCTTGGAGGAAGATTCTGGTCATGCCCTCTCGCATTCCTCTCTCAGCCCACCTCTGTGAGGTAGGGACCCATCAGGCTACCTCATTTCCACAAAGGGGCTTGAAGCCCGCAATCTGGTGGCTCTTAAGGTGTGTTGACCCCCTTCCCGGTTTACTTTCACTAAAGAATTTATCACCATCTAATAAAGAATATTCTTTTTTGTTTTGCTTGTCTGTCTCCCTCTTCTAGCATCTCAGCTCCATGAAGGCAGTGATTTTTGTCTGTTCTCTGCTGTATTCCCAGTGCCTGAAATGTGGTTGGCAGGTGAGAGACATGCATTCAGTATTCATAGAATGCATAAATGCGTACATCTATTCCTTTAGCATCTAGAGGCCTAGAAGGCCCCAAAAGAAATGCATTCAGGGGCCAGGCAAGTGTGAAGATGTGTGAAGCTGTTGGGTATCAGACAGGTGGAAATGGTACAGGAGAAGGGAGGTCAACCTAAAGGCATAAAATTTATTAAAACAACCCCCCCCCAAACAAAAAACCAACAGGTGAAACCAAGTAAACAAGGCTAAAGGCAGCATTTGGTCAGTTTTCTGACTTCTGCCTTAGATGGCCTAAGTCAGTAGTTTTTAATCTGCAAAAGCCATGACCCATGAGTGGGTGGTGAAATCAGTTTAGCCGGGCATGACTAGGATTAAAAAATAAATTATACTGAATAGGAAATGACACAGAGCTTTGCACGTGGTATGGGTAGGTTACTATTATCTTTTCTGTGTTCCAGGAAACTTTCGTTTTGGCCACACATGAACGTGTGGGCACGCAGGCATGTGTGTGCATCTCTGTGTGTGCATGCACTGGATCTTTATGCAAAGGTATTTCTTTTTGTGCGTCTTGGTCAAAAACATTTGAAAACACTGGGCTTTCTAGTTAATCAAGCCGGACTGTTGTACAGTTTGCAAATTTAGACCATGTTGGTTGGATTTATAGAATTGCTTTCACGGAGCTATATTTGGTGCTTAAGATTTCTGTGACACTGACACCTGAAATGAATGTTGGGATGTTGAGGAAACTGACCTCTAGGTCGCCAAATCCAGAGGATGGTTTCAGGCTGGGGCTAGGGCGAGACATTCACTCTGAAGGTCATGCAAGTACTGGCATGGCGTGTTCTCATGGAATTCACTCCTCTCTTGATTCCTTAGCACTGTACTCTTCTGGTCCTATCCTGGTTCTTCTGGTTTTCCCTCTTTGGTTTCTCCTCCGCCCAACCCTAAAATGAGCAGAGGCCCACCTGGTGTTCCTTCCTGTAGTATATTTTTACAGCAATGGCTGCTAGTGAATCATGCCTCCTGGTAAGCCATCCCACACTGACTTTGGGTTTGGCCATGTGAATTTCTTTGGCCAGTGAAGTCTTACCTTGGTAGCACATGTACTTGGTAAGTCCTGTGCATTGAGACTCGCCCACTTGGATGCTCCCCTGAGGCCACTATGCTGTAAAGAAGCCCAGGTGAAAGTTAACATGGAAAGAGAGGCTCAAGTGTTCCAGCTGTTCCAGCTGAGCCGTGTCCCCTGCCGACAGCTGGCATCAACCAGACATGTGAGTCTTGGACCTTCTAGCTCACTGTCCAGATGAATGCAGCCCCATGAATGAGCCAGGTGAAACCAGAAGAGGCACTACCCAACCAACCTATAGAAGAATAATAAATACAGCTGACCCTTGAACAACATGGGTTTAAACTCCTCGGGTCCACTTATACACCGTTTTTTTTGATAGTGGATAATGCAGTGCTGCAAGATCCATGATTGGTTGCATCTGTGGTTGTGGAGCCGTGGATATGGAGCCACGTATATGGAGGGCCATCTATAAATTATAAGCAGATTTTCAACTGCAAGGAGGGTCAGCATTCCTAATCCCCTCCTTGCTCAAGGGTCAACTGTAGTTGTTTTTAGCCGCTAAGATTTGGAATGGTTTGTTATGCAGAAATACCTAGCTGATACATCCCCTCAACCCTCATCTTCTCTCACTCTGTGGGTGGACTCAGTCTCTGGCTTCTAATATTTTGAGGGCCCGCAAATTGACAGTTCTAGCTCAGAACATGTTCCGGAGGCCCTGATTCACATATCTAACTTCCTAGTCATTGGTTACATCCATCTAAATGTTCACAGGCTTGACCGGCCCAACCTGTTCACACCTTACCTCATCATCTAACCCGCCTCAGCCGTTTTCCTCTTCCTCCTGTAGTCTCTGTCTTGGTTGATGACATCATCGCCAATCCCTAAAGTTACCAGCCTGATATGGCATGTTGTGATTTCCAAGATGGTCGCAACAAGATTTTTTATTCTGCATGCTCTCCTGGCAACATGACATTGATCATCAGCCCATTAGGAGGTGGCTCAATGTTCCCGCCTCTTGAATCTGAGTAGGCCTGTGACCACAGAGGAAACGACACCTGTGACTTGTGAAACTCGGTCATAGCTGCTGATCCTGTTTCCATGTGGTCCTCTTGGGGTACTCACTCTCTGAACACCTCTGTCATGCTGTGAGGAAGCATGGGCCACATGGACAGATCACAAGTGGAAATTTGTTTTGGTTTGTTAGGGCTGCATAACAAAGTAACACAGACTGGGGAATTAAAAAACAGAAACTTATTGTCTCAGTTCCGGGAGCTAGAAGTTCAAGATCCAGGTGTTGGCAGGGTTGGTTCCTTCTGAAACCCCTCTCCTTGGCTTGTAGATGGCCACCTTCTCCCTGTGTCCTCACGTGGTCTTCCCTCTGTGTGTGTATCTGTGTCCTAATCTCCTTCTCTTATGAGGACACCAGTAATAATGATTAGAGCCCACCCTAATGACCTCATTTTAACTTAACTACCTCTTTAAAGACCCTATTGCCAAATGCAATCATATTCTGAGGCAGTGGGGGTTAGGACTTCAACATATGAATTTTGAGGAGTGGTGGGCACAGTTTGGCCCATAGCAGTATTCCAGCCAGCAGCCCCAGCTGAGGTTTCAGTTGACAGCCAGCATCACCAGACCTGGGAAGAAGCCTTCACCTGACACAAATGAGAGACCCTGAGCAAGAGCCACCCAGCTGAGCCCAATCAGCCTCTCATGAGAGATAATAATAAAATAATAATTGTTGTTCTAAACCACTGCATTTAAATAGCAATAGATTATTGGAATATTCTAGAATCAACCTGGTTGGTGGTGGTGACGAGGGGGTGGGGGACAGGGGAGAGCTGACCTGGGAATTATCCTGGTCAGGATAATTGATACCTCTTGCTTCCCTGCTCTGCCATCTAATCAGTCACCAAGTCTTAATGATTTTGTTTACTGCACACCTCTGTAATCCAGCCTGTCTCTTCACCTTGACCATCATGTTCCCATGTCCTAGATTGTTACAGTGGCCTCCTAATATCCATTCCATCCTCCCCATGTTGCCAAGGTAGCTGTTCTATGCTGTGGCCCTACCACCTGTAACTCTTTCAGCGACCATGGCTCTCTTAAGAAAACCAAGTTCAGATCCTCCATAGATAGTCTTAATGTGAAGGGAAGGAGGCTTCCTGGCTCCTAGACCCACCCTCTCCAATATGGTAGTCATTGGCCAAACATGGCTATTGAGCATTTGAAATGGAGCTAATGCCATGAGAAGCAGAAACTTTAATTTTACTTCATTTTAATTAATTTAAAATTAAAAACTGATACTTAATTCAGTTATTGGAAAACATTCAAGTATGTTTGGAAAGAATTGCCAACTGTCCTGGTTTTCCTGGGACTGAGCTTTCAGGATGTGGAACTGTGAGTTTTAAAACCAGGACTTGGGTAAACAGGGATGAGTTGGTGACACTACTTTGAAACAACTTGGTTATGGAAATCTATGAAATCCAAATACAGATCAAGTGTTGTGGATCAGAATTAAGCATCTGAATGGAGATGTGCCATAAATGTCAAATATATTCTGGCTTTCAAAGACTTGGTATGAAAAAAAAATGTAAAATATCTCATTAAAAATTTCATATATTGGGCTTCCCTGGTGGCGCAGTGGTTGAGAGTCCGCCTGCCAATGCAGGGGACACGGGTTC